GTTCCACTAGTTTGAACCTTTTGTAAGAAAGATATGTTGCCGATAGTAAAAAAAAAAAGATTATTATGTTTGAGAATAGAGGCCAGTTTATAAGTAATTGAACTTTTGTCGCCTTAATTTTAGTGATATTAATTTAATTAAACATGAGCGATGCCTTGATTTTGGTGATATTAAACATGAGCCATCGTTTGACTGCTAAGGGGCCATTGGGCATAACTTAAGAGTTAAGGTATTTGAATATGAATGATTAAACTTTGCTTTAATACTTCTTAAAGCAGCTTATCTCCACATGCATGCTATCCTTTTTTAATGAAATTTAATAAATTGAAAATATTGTTACTTAAAAAAGTAGATAGTGTTATGTAAAGTAGCAAATTGCTCAAATTTCATAAACTGTGTCAAAATGCGCAAATGGTAAAGCCACTCTTGTGGGTCATGATTTTCACTGCTATGTGACGGGTTTATATGTAATTAAATTTCTATGGGTTTATATGTAATTTTTGTTTCGAATCTGATGTCATATTCAAACTGGGCCATCAAAATCCCATTGTGATTTTACTTTTTTGTTTTATTTGAATTATTTCTTTACTTGTCCTTTATGATATTTTAATATGAAGAAAATTCTGGAAAATATCACTTATATATCCAGGACAACCGGGGCAATAGGTACAATTGATTTTGCCGGCCTTGCCATATAACTGACAAATTGTTACGTTATATAAATCTTGCTAATAATGCATTCATTGCTACTGATTTTTTCTACTGGTAGAAAATCTGTGTTAATCTTATTACAGAGCATTTTCTTGGAATATTACCCTGTTACATCCTGTGTTTTTTCATGTTTTATATAACATATGACAGAACTTTGAAGTAATTAACCATTTGATGACATTTTGTTAGCTTTTCTAACTAAATCCTTCGACAAAATAAGCATGATAAAGATACTGGCGTTATTTTTTTTTTTAAGATTCTAGTCAGAATTGCATTGTCAGATCAGGAAAGCAGAAATGTATTGACAGTTACTTTGTTCCGAGGTTTTATTAAGTATCGAGGTTTTCTTAAGTAACGCTACAAGGCAGGAGGGTTATTTTGACGGCTTTTGTTTTTCTCGGAGGTCGCTGTGTAAAATGTCAGAAGAAGGCAGAGATTATATTGACATTATGTTTGTTTCGCTCGAAGTGTCGTGTTGCTGAAGTATTAGTTTGTGCGGAGAATCTGAATGATTTAATGATAGTATGTCGAACTGATTCTCGGTGATTCTCGGTACTTCGGAATCACGATTAATTCGTCTGTCAATATTGCTAATTATGAACTAATGTCTATGATTTACCTAATGAATAATTGGTCCTTTTGTTCTCCCTTGAAACAGTGTTGCTGAATTGTTTTTGTAAATGAAAGGTGTATTGATTGATATTACTCTGAGGTGGTTACACAACACTATTTTCTTGGAAATTTTGTGTTATAATATCCAGCCTTAGTAGCATGCATTATTATAGGCCATTGAAACAACTAATATCTACTACTTTTTTAATCATTATTAATTTTCTAGGCCTGGCAAGACATTAATGAATGAATATCTTTGTTGATTTTCAAACAAGTTATTTAATGAAAAGTGTGATGCAAATTGCATTTTACATATAATTTATCCACTAAGTTTAAACGTATGCTAGATTTGCATATTACAAATTAACAACGCTCTTGCAATGTTTTTAGAAGAGTTATGACCCTTTTGTATATATTATATATCGGTAAAATAAGACACTCCTGCCTTTGTTGTTATAATACTTGTATTTCCTGTGTTAGCCAACAGCAGGCTTTATTGGAGATTTGTGAGTCAATTTGAGTGCCCTCCTGTTCCTGAAAAGGAAAATGGAAAATCTCATCATCATTGGTAAATTGAAAAGATGTCAAATTATATGACTAATAAAAAGATTTCAAAATTTAATATAAAGAATTACTATTCAAATTTTGTGGCGGCATGGCAGAGTGGTTAACGCGTCCAACTAGTAATATAATTACTGCTAGTCGCATGGGTTCAAACCCCTTCAGGGGCAAGTCGTTTCCTTGAGTAAGAAACTTTACACTCATTGCTCAGTACTGGTTGGTTCCAGGAACTGATTCGAAAGTATGTCTATAAGCTTATAGCTCCCTACGCAATTGAACTTAAATAAATTCAGTATTAACAAAATTTTGCACACCTGTGCTTCTTTCACACAGGCATTCCCACACACTCATTCTCACTCCACCCTTCCATATAATTCTGTTTTCCCTCAAAATTAAAATGAATTCATAAGGTTGGTATATACATGGCTATAAAAGCATAATTTTAGGGTTGACCGCAAAACTGCAGTAACTTATATGAAATAAGGAAGGACTTAAATCAGCTATGCAGTCAACCCTCAATATATAACTTGTGTATAAAAGCAGTATAAAAATTTGTAGCAAGTGTTTTAGAATGCTTTCAGAGAGCAAACATGTGTTCACATACACATCAAAAGTTTTACAACATAACTTTTGCAGCACCTTTTATGATATTTTTAAAAAGGAGCTGTGTTCACATTATGTTTTTCATAATGAGGTCTTGTTTACTTTATATGAAAACACTGTGCAAGCTACATGTAGTTCTGAATCAGCTTGAAACAAGGAAAGTAAATTTTTCTTTTGCTGTATGAATTATCTAGAAGATAAAAGATTGAATATTTTATGCAGACTTTGCTAAGCAACTTTGATCTTTTAAAGTTTTAAGTCTTTACCTGGGTTTTGTTCTTTCTTTCACGTCTAGTGCAGTTTTGATAAAGCGTTTTGAACTGTTTTTTTCCTTTCAACATGATGAATTAGTTCGGTGTACTTGAGTGTAAAAGGTCATTGGATATGGTGTATGCTTCCAATTTGGTAGATTTCTGTCTGGCTGGAAAAGTAGGAACTTCCTTACTTTTGCTCACTGTTAGTTAATCTGGAACAGATTTTTTACTATCATGCTCAATTCGGAATGTTTTTCTTTCCTCTTTCGTTATTGGTTGTCACTCACACTTCTTGTTTACAACTAGGATTGTGTTCTTTTCCTGCTATTATTGGTAAAAGAAGAAAGAATCCATAATTTTATGTTTGTCCCTGAGTATTTAATTGCATTATTTTAGGCTTATTGTTTCAAACCACTGAATATCTGCACGCTGGCTAGGTTGGTTATATACATAAAAGAGTCCAGTATCCCTGGTTGGATATCACTGAGTGACGGAATGTAACTGGGCCTATGATATTTTGTAATTATATATTCTAGATATTGGCGACAGTATTGTTTTTTACTACCATATTCCCTCTTAATTCTATACATTGTGTTCCATAAAGTTTTTGCAGTAACTCTGGTACAGTAGCTACTATTTAGATGTATCTTTGATTTTATTTGCCTAGTAATATCAGTTTACTGGCTGTTAATGAAAATATTTCAGTAATCTTCCGTATGGGAAAAAAAAATTCTTTTAAAGGTATTTACTTTTGCCGGAGATATAGTGCATCATTAGATAGTTTTGTTTATTACCGTAAGTAGGTTTTTACACAGTTTTAATACATTTTTGGTCATATCCACTAGTTGGTTTCTCAGGATAGTGAAAGATTCTCTGCAAGTGACTGGCTACTCAAATCCCACATGATTTCTGAAACAGACTCATTATCATATAATTGTCCCGGCACAGAGACAATTTGCCTTTCCCGAGGATCAAACCTGAGTGACCTGGATTACAAATGTGATGCTTTATTTAGTCAAGTGGACATGCACATTTAAAAGCAAACAAACTAGAGCAAAGCATACTAGTCTTGTTGGATGAATTTTAGAAAATTTTGTGAGATAAAAGTTAATTTGGAGAGTTTGAAATTACAAGGCATTGAGTATGATAATTTAACTTGGCTATAAGATAATTTACATGTTTTCCTGCTAATAGAGATAACAGGTATTTATATATAGCGTCAGCATCTTCAAGCTTGGCAGCTGCAGAGTAAAAGTCTGGTTTCATGCTGCCTGCATATTCTTTGTCTTAATGCAAGGCCTGTTTGAACCGAATAAAATAAAAAGTTCTTGCCAACTTTTGCCTCAAGTATAGAGCCAGGCCATCTTGTAAATAAGTGCAGTCTGACCAGGCTTTGACTCAACTTTTTGTATTTTGATATTGAAATCCCTTAAGCTTTAAATGGACTGTTCCAAATTGAAAGCAGGGCAAATCCATTATACAAACTTAGTACATTTGTAAGTTTAAAAAGTCTTAATGATTGGCTTTTGTAGCTGTAGGAGCATGTTTATGTTTATGTCTACAACTAATATGTTTATGAAGTTAGTTACATAATAAGTCTACAACTAATATGTTTTAACCCTTAACCTGATGAATTTCTTAAAGTGTTCCCCCTGCTTTGAATTTAGAACAGTCCATTCATAGTTTCAGGGATATACAAAAATTGAGCAGCCAACAGTATAGACTAGAGCCGGGTAAGATTGCATGGATCTGCACCCTGGCCTGGCTCTGCACTGGTGGTAAAGACTGTTGACATTTGGTTCAAGCAGGTTACCAGTATGGGTTAAAAGCTGGAATTCTTTTTTCAAAATGCATAGTGTCAGTAATAATACTGCTTTGACACTAAATTTGTCATAATTTTGTAATCAGTTACGTATTAATTATGTGACTGTAATTGATCACCATCCCTAGTAATTAGAGGATTGTAACAATAACTCTATGGTACATGTAGCATCAAAAATGGCAAGGCTATTCTTGCAGCTAGTATAAATTTTGGTCAGTGTGTGCCATTCTGTATCATGCTGGACTGTCACTGCTGCCTCTAGACTACTAATTTAGCATTTTGTTATTGAAATGGCTTAAAGATTTAAAAAAAATTTAAATGGCTATTGTAAAGCAGGTATTGGGGTAAATATAAGAAATGTTGTATTTTGTTTGAAAATATTTACTGCTTATTCATACTGTAACTAAAGCACTAACTAATGTTATTGTATATTTCAGGGCACCAGAAATTCTGCTAGGTTTGCCATTTTGTGAGTCTATAGACATGTGGTCACTGGGATGTGTGATAGCGGAATTATTCCTCGGCTGGCCACTGTACCCAGGTTCCTCCGAGTATGATCAGGTAAGACGAATCTTCTGTTTGTTAATATTGTTCACTGGTCTTAATTGGGTGCCATATTTGTCCCTGAAGTTGGCTTAAAGGGTAAGGACTACAGGTCTTTTTGAGAAAGAAATGACTGTGTGACCTTCACAGTGTCCCTTTTACTATACATTCTAGCAAATGTTTTTATGAGATTGTTTGTCGGGTACCAGAAGTCTTAGAGAATTTGTGGCCATTATGGCATTAAAATGCACAGTGCCATTATGACTTGCCATTGCAGTAATGCTTGTTAATTGAGTCTGACAAGTTTCAGGTGTTTTCAATATAGGATCAGAATTTATCTAGTAGTTTACGGTACCTCTACATTAAAGTTTGAATTATTGAGCTCAGATCCTGGGGGCTTTAAGGGGGGAGCTGAAGGGAGTTTGGGGGGGGAATGTTTTTGTTAGTAGCCTATTTGCTACTGAGGATGTAATTGTGGGTTCAGTCAATACAGACATGCTCATCTCATTCATTACAGACCTTAGTGAACCTGAACAATTTTGTAAAAAGTTACACCCATCCTTTTAAAATCTTTTTCCATCATGAAAATTTGCCGCAAAACATTTTCTTTTCGTACAACAACAAAAAATGGGTGCATAATTGAAATATTTTGAAGTTAAATTATTGCATGCATTGACTCACTCCTATCTAAATTATCTAGTTGGTCATGAATTTGTATTTCTATTTTTTTGCTCCAAGGATAGGAAAGATAGCCAGTCTTATCGGTTCATTTGCAAAAAATACCGTGACTTCTCTAATAAATGCTCCATCCCTAATAAATGCTGTTACTAAAAATAGAAAATTGGTTTCCGGTTTGAAAACCTGGTTTTATTGCTGTGCCATATTTCTTGTTTCATGAAACATATTATTGGAGAAGAAAATCACTTGATCTGTGTCATTATGTTGTAAATGTTTGCAGTTTTGTACAGTGGAAAATTGTGAAAATCTTTTTGTTTCATGTAATTCAACGGTTTTTGTATTTTTCACTTTTTCTCAAGAAATGTTAAGGAGCTACACTCATTTTCCCTCATGTTGTTTTGATATCATAAAAAGAAATAAAACACGAAATAAATGGAAAATAGAAAAACAAAACTTTGCGAAGCTTGTAAATTAAATAAGGTTTTGAAATTGCCAGGGGATTCATTCACATTCGTAAGATTGTGAGATAATACATAAATTTAAATTATCCAGTTTTATCAAAGTTTCACAGTATTTTCTTTTTGTGTATGATATGTTGATGTTTTTTTTGTGGTCATAAAGTGCATTTTGTTTTGTGTCTAATATGTTTGTGTTTTTTTTTTTTGTAAGTGAATTATTATTTCTGCAAAGATATAATTCATTTTATGCAATCCCCACCCAAAAAACTTGTTTTTATTAAATTTTCTGCTTTAAAAATCAAGATATTAATTTATTGTGCGAAATGCCTCCGTCGAAGGTCTTTGACCAATTTCCCTACAAGTGACCGACTAACTAAGCCCATGTGATTTTTGAATCAGCAGTGAAAGGCAAATGACTATTTAAGGCTCAGTGACCAAGATCATTTATCATTAAGAAATTTTGCCTTACCACAGGATCGGACCAGAGACCTCCTATATTTCTTATCTGATGCTTTCCCTATTCAGGTTGATGGCTGATGAAAACAGAATAGTTTGAGGTTACACAGGGATGCATCTTAGTAAGGGTTTCAAAATTAAAAGGTCAAAGATCTTGGGGGGTGTTGTGTGTGTATGTGTGTGGGAGGGGGGGAGGGGCCCTATATTGGGGGGGGGGGGGTTCGGGCGTCATTTGATTACAATTAACTAGTGCATTGATTAAAGCAGGAGAGCAATTTAACATTTATAAACCTTGTGTACATTACAAAGATCAGAAATACAAGGTATTGTACATTGTAGTGCTTGTAGTTTAAATCTTACAAAGTCAGCCAATCTTTTCTATTTGTGCACTGAATTAAAGAGAATTTTCACAAGTCGGATTTAAGTCACCTGGGTATCTGAATAAAAACTTAATAGCTGTCAGAGGGCACCTCGATTTAGAGCAGCATACTAGAGTAATTTAAATCTGGGCTATATTGAATTTTATACAGGGCATTGTTTACAGTTTGGATTTGCCATTTGAAAAATGTCAACAGGAATTTTGATATTGATTTCCTTTTCTGAATTCTGTATTGAATAAATATATGGAAGTCTACCCTTTGTTTAGAATTTAAATTAAAAATTTATTTGCCCCGTGTGTGGTATCTTTGCCACAGCTGTTAATTTTACAACATAATGATCTTTTGTTATTTGTTGATTGTTATGTAAACTTATGTTAACTTTGCGCACACAAAAAAGTAAGACTTTGCATAGATACAAAAATCTTTGTTGGGAAATCAGCTGATTGCAGATACTACTTACATTAGTGCAGTATGGGCTAACTCCTTATATAGTTTAATATGAGTTAACCTGTTACTGCACTAAGGTAACAAAATTTCTTCTGATAAATGATGTTTGATTTGATTGGGTTTTAAGACACACTGACACACTGTAAAGGTCACATGGAGATAATTTCTATCTTAACTTGTGGGGAATGACACCTTTTGCCCCTTTTGGGGAAAGACACCTTTTGCCCCTTTGTGCATAAAGCGGGCACCTGAGTAGAAACACTTACCTTTCCAGAAGCTTTCTCTACTTAGGCTAGAAAGGCAAGCGGCATTACATGATAAAATATTCAATTCCCTGGTGGGATTTGAACCTACAACAGTAAGGGGCCACCCCCTGTGTTTCCAAGTCAAAGGCCTTGTTTATCATCATTTGGGCAAGGTGGTTGGAAATTGTTTACTTTATAGACTCAGAGCTTTATAAAGTCAATGAAACTTAGCAAACAGAATAGAAATTTACTGTGTATTTGTCCATAAATAGCAGTTTCATAATGGTTCAGGACATGAATCACTTGTGTTACTGCCCAATGGGTTATTATTAAAATAATGTGAATGTAAATTCCCTGAGAAAAAAAAAAAGAGAAGATATTTTTATACAGCAGACAGTTAATGATGTTTTGTTTGACCAGAGTATATTTTAATTTCCCCCATACTTCTCAAAGTAAAACAATGTAAACAAACTCGAGAAGCATTAGGACTGTGTAAAATGTTTGTTTGAGATTTCACAAGTTGATTTGATAAAATGTTAGTGAAATAAAAAAAGGAAGAAAATACTTAAAATGAATTTCATTATCCAATAAAAACAGATTTAATGCCCGTCTTCTGTATTTTATTTCCTTAAATGTAGCTAGGTTTCACAAGGATGTGAATTTTTAACCTTTCGTTACAATGTGAAAAGGACATTAATTCAAAAACTTGTTCTTGACCTTTTAATGCACCATAAAATGAAATGGAGAAATATCAAGTATTCAGTTTGATGTATGAAAATCAATTATTGTTATGAGGTCCACAATGAGCGGCTTTCTTTTGTTGGTTTGCTAAAAATCTAACCCAATCAATCAATTAGTGGCCATGTGACCTATCAGTGAATATTTTACCTTGAAGTACTGGTAGCTGTAAAAGGATATATTCCCAATCAATGAAACAGGCCAGGTTTAAAACATTTTTTAAGGCCCCCCCACCACTTTGGGAAACAAACAGATTTGCCCTTTTCTGACCTGCGGTCCGTCTGTTCTGCTGTCCATATAATTATAGTCCACTCTGTGTCACTTGTAACTCCAAACATATTTATTTATATAAGAGTTATGAAACTTTCTTAGAATAGTTGTTAGCATGAGAACTTATATCCAAGGGTATTTTGATGCAGTTTATTGGAGACTAGAATTTTCTTCACAGGCAGGCGGGAAATTTTTCATAGAGAAAGAAGGAAAAAGATCAACAAATGTAATAAATTCTCACTTTTTGATAAAAATCCCCACCCCTCCGTTTTTCAAACCTTAGCAAAGACACTGTTAAGGCCTTCCAATATCAGTTAATAAGAAATGACTTTTCCCCTAATTTTGGTAACGCAGCATTTAAGAAAAATCCTTGCCTTAGGTCAAGTCTGTATTATTTTGATGTGACATGTCGTGTACTTGTGTGACATTCTCGAGATGAAAGAAGCAGTTGATTAATCATTGTGAATTTAGGTCCATCGTTTATGTTGGTTCAAGTATTGATGTTTTGTCAGATTGAAGTATGATTTATCTGGGAGGGAACTATTTTTTTGTGACCTAAGCACTCCTTGTGAAATTAAAGTGAAAGAAAAGCTTTACAAAAAACTATGTCACTGCTGATGTAGCTATTGCTGTTATATGGCTGTCGCACAAATTCATGTGAGAGTCCATGTATTGTATATTATTTTTAGCTTGTCTGTTTCGAAGAAAAATTCGAGCTATTATAATAGCTGTTGCGTTGTTGATGTCATGCAAAAACTTTAATATAGCCCATTACTTAAACATACAAAGGTATCTATATGAAACTTAGAATACTTGCTTATCATGACAACAGGCAGTTATAAGACAAGGGGCATAATTGTTGAATCTTTTGGAGTTATGCCCCTTTTTACTGCAGAATTTTTGTTAAATATGGTCATTTTAACAGATGAGCGTTGACACAGAATGTGGTGTTCTTGTTTGTATCAATGTGCTCTTTTGATGACTTTTTCCCAGCTACATTATATATGAACCAGCTGAATTTGTGTAATGGAATTGCTCGCCTTTGAATTTGGAACAGTCCATTTGAAAATTAAGGGATTTTAATATCAAAATACAAATATTGAGCTACCGCCAGTACAGAGAAAGCCTGGTGAGACTGCATGGAAGCGCAGGCTTGCTTTGATCTTTAGTGTAGCCATATGACTATATATGTTAAGGGCTTGAGCTGGGGGGGGGGGACTAGGGCGAAGAAGTCGCCTTTAGATGAACAACTTGGCCTAAAACAAACTTCAAAGTGATTTTGAAGTGGCCCGATTTTGTAATAGTGTTCGTGTAACTTAATATTTAGTTCTTGAGTCAAAGAGTCCTATTTCAGAGGAGTTGATAGACATTACTTACAAAATGAATCATAAATCTTGCTCTTATTTGAAATTCTGGATTAGCGTTAGTCTATTAAACAAATTGCCTGCCAGTACTTGACAGAAATACGATCAGGAACTTCTGTCTCGTGCAATCAAAATACCATTTGATATCCAGACGTGTTTAATTGCACTTCTTGAACGAGTGCTGTAGCTATATAAAATGTAACAATTCCATTAAAGCCTTTCAGCATCAGTGTTCCAGATGAATTTAAGGTAGTTTGTTTAATTGTTGTTTGTAGTTTGTTTAATTGTTGTTCGTGTTTTTTCAGATTCGCTACATTTCACAGACTCAGGGCCTACCCGCAGAACATATGTTGAGTAACGCCACAAAAACGACACGGTTCTTCATACGTGAAAACACAGACAGTAATTACCCTTTCTGGAGATTAAAGGTATGTGTATAGATAAAAAAAAGAGTCCAATATGACTATTTTTAACAAAATTTAGTTATTATGAAGGTGTTCACGCAAAGTTTGGGCAAAATTATTATTATTAATATGTTGTTGTCAGTGATTTTCCTGCTTATATAACAGACTCTAATAATAGGCCTCTTCCCAATTGAAATTTTCTTTAAAATCATGCAGTTTTTCCAAAAATCTGAACTTATATCTGCTTTTTTACTTCCGAAATAAGCAATCTTAGAGATAATTTTTCCCAAAATCAAGTGGCTAAGGCCTCTTCCCAAATAAGTGAGAAAAATCACTGGTTGTTTTTGGTACAACTTATTGATGTATATACATGTACTAAGCCAAAATTAGAACAAAATATGTGATGAAGCAAATCCTCTTATAGGTCAATGAAAGAATTAGCGAAGATGTAACTAAATGTCTGAAAATAGATTTTATACACATATAAGGGCAGCCATTATTAGAAGCTGTGCATAATCACTTGTATTATGTGTATCCCTTTTAAGTATGATGGAGTAGTGTTGCGACATGTCGACATGTTTAACAGCCTTGTGATTGTGGGATTATGGTAAACAGTTGTTTTTCGATGATTCAGCAAATTCGATTACATAAAAACTTAATTTTTGTATTTTCAGCAATTCTTAGTACAGATGTACCTGTTTTCCACAATTGTATTGACTTGTATTCATACATGTATTTATAAAGTTATCTACTTAAGCCGCCATAAAAATATCTTTGTTTCCCCTTCTCATGACCCTTGCCAGTTTGGTGGAGGTAGGAAGGATAAAGATGATTTTAATTATTCAATATACAAATTATATTTGATTGAAAAAATAGATTGTAAAGGCATTATTTAGAACCAAAGTTCCAAAGTTTTATTCAAATAATTATATTCATCCCAGTTTGTATATTTACAATTTTGCATAAGAAAAAAAAGGGCAAAAACGTGTTACGAGACCAGTCTGTATGATGATGGAATCCTTATTCACAGACTCTAGTTTCTATAGTAGTATTTTGCTTGGCAAGGAAATTTTATTTGTGATTTTTGTGGGAAGGTAGTGGGAGGGGAAACAAGTAATATTTTATCTTAGGCCTTGACAGTAGCTGCATCATATAATCATCCCTGTCCAAGAAATACTTTCAAGAAGTTTATATAATGCTCTGTGAGGAAAATAGAAAATAGTGATCAAAAGTCAAGATTATATTTCATGGCTACTAATTACATTAGTTCATAAGTCAGTAATGAAAATAGAAATTGGTTAGTCTTTGCAACCAGTAACGTGAGCCATGCCAGCCTGCGCTGTGTGCAGTCTGACCAGGCTCTATACGGTTGGCAGCTCAATTTTTAATAGTATTTCGATATTGTAATCCTGTATACTTTGAATAGACTGTTCCAAATTTCAAAGCAGGATAGAACCATTACAAACATTTGGCAGGTAAATTTGTTATTGAAATCCCTAATATTTTGAATTGACTGTTCCAAATTTAAACAAAAATATGGAAGGTAAAAAAAAGAATAGACCGGTGTTTTACATAATGTTTGTTAAATAATGCATGGAAAGGCACCTGAGGTCTCTAGCTATGTGCTGGAATGTAGCCATGTTGCATTTACCTTGTCAGCGTAACCTCACTGATTACTGATAAGAAAGATTGTTTTTCTGTACTCAATAGCTGTTGTTTTTTTCACTCTCTCCAGAGTAAAACAAAAGTTTGTTTAGGGAAAGTAAAAAAAAAAACAACAACAACTATTTACTATGATGTTCTGCTATTTATTGATATTTCTATTAAATTGTTATTTTCGTGTTATTTTCAGACACCAGAAGAGCATGAGTTAGAAACAAAAATCAAATCAAAAGAAGCCAGAAAATACATCTTTAATTGTATTGATGATATGGCGCAGGTAAATATTCTTACATACAGCTCTACACTGTATATTTTACCCCCGGGTCCCCCAGCACAGTCTTGGTAGTTGATACTTGATTGAATTGGCAAAATAGTTCTGTTTCAAAAATACTTGTTGCACCTGGAAAAGAACCTGGATTTTACCTGAAGAGCTGAATGGCTGAATTTGTTAAAAATAGAAATTGTGAAATTTTTAGAGAAGTGGGGGTTTGGGGGGAAAGAGTGGGGGTTGGGGACTGATTGGTTGAAAGCTTCATCTTATCTATCATTGCATAAATTTATGCTTGTTGATCTCTGTGACTTTTCATAACAGAAGATACTTTCTATTTTAGTGAAGAAAAAAAATCAATGCCAAAGAAAATAAAACAGTAGACCTGCAAATATATATAGACAAACCTGTGCTGCAATGTCATCTCTTAATAAATTCCAATTGTTTAATCTTATTGTTGAAGTTAACCAGTCCCCCACCCCGCTGCAAGACTTATTATAATGCAAATTCAATTGTTTTGAGTGATCATCAGCATTTCTATAGGCCAAACATACTTTTTGGCCGGGTTGCACTGGTGCAAACCCGGGTTATAGTATGGTGAATGTTGGGCGGCGGGCGGCGGGCGGGCGGGGAAAAAACTTTCGTAACAGTTTTCTCAGCAACTACTTATCACAGCCTTTTGATATTTGGTATACAGCATCAATTCATGGTCCCATACTGTGGGATTTGATTTCAGGTCTGTCGCTCATCTACTTCCTGTTTGCTGACCTACTTAAATTTTCAGCATTAATGGTCAATAGTAGGAAATTTTCGTAACAGTTTTCTCAGCAACTACTTATCACAGCCTCTTGATATTTAGCATACAGCATTGACACATGGTCCCATACCGTGGGATTTGATTTCAGGTCTGTCGCTCATCCACTTCCTGTTTATCCACTTAGTTAAATTTTTCGACATTAATGGTCAATGGTAGGAAATTTTCGTAACAGTTTTCTCAGCAACTACTTATCACAGCCTCTTGATATTTAGCATACAGCATTGACACATGGTCCCATACCGTGGGATTTGATTTCAGGTCTGTCGCTTATCCACTTCCTGTTAATCCACTTAGTTGAATTAGTTAGATTTTTCGACATTAATGGTCAATGGTAGGAAATTTTCGTAACAGTTTTCTCAGCAACTACTTATCACAGCCTCTTGATATTTAGCATACAGCATTGACACATGGTCCCATACCGTGGGATTTGATTTCAGGTCTGTCGCTCATCCACTTCCTGTTTATCCACTTAGTTAAATTAGTTAGATTTTTCGACATTAATGGTCAATGGTAGGAAATTTTTGTAACAGTTTTCTCAGCAACTACTTATCACAGCCTCTTGATATTTAGCATACAGCATTGACACATGGTCCCATACTGTGGGATTTGATTTCAGGTCTGTAGCTCATCCACTTCCTGTTTATCCACTTAGTTAAATTAGTTAGATTTTTCGACATTAATGGTCAATGGTAGGAAATTTTCGTAACAGTTTTCTCAGCAACTATTTATCACAGCCTCTTGATATTTTGCTTACAGCACAGACACGTGGTCCCGTACTATGGAATTGGATTTCATGTCTGTTGCTCATCCACTTCCTGTTTATCCACTTAGTTAAAATTAGTTAGATTTTTCGACATTAATGGTCAATGGTAGGAAATTTTCGTAACAGTTTTCTCAGCAACTACTTATCACAGCCTCTTGATATTTGGCATACAGCATTGACACATGGTCCCATACTGTGGGATTCGATTTCAAGTCTGCAGCTCATCCACTTCCTGTATACCCTACTGAATTAAATTTTCGACATTAATGGGTCAATGGAAATTTTTTTTCGTAACATCACAGCCTCATGATATTTGGTGTACAAATGCAACCCGGCCTTTTCTGTCTTTGACCCATTTTTTCCCCTTTCTTTGAATGGTCTTTATATTGAGGTTTAACCGTACCTAAGATTTATATATAAGGCATTATAAATTTGATTGTAAGTCTGTGCTCGCCCATAATCAAACACACACACACATTGTTAGTCCACTTTTGGGTAATGCACGACAATATCTTATTTGACCTATGGTCTTTTTAGGCAGTTACTTTTGATATGCCTTATGCCGAGTCAAAAAACAAACAAAAGGTCTTCTGTTCAGAGGTGGCTGTTTATTGAAGTTATCCTCTAAATAAGAACTTTTTGCAGAAGTTCACTTTATCAGACTTTAAGGTTGCCTGATTTTCCAGACTGAATGGTGAATAAGAAAACCAGTAAGAGAAAATTGAGGAGAAAATTGACAGATTTTTGTATTGTTTCACAGAATCAGTAGATCATAACAAAAATAGATCTTGGTAGGAAAATCCCATACATACAGCTGGTTTGTTCATTCCATTGATTCCTGGTATTGAATGAAGCGAGGTAATTGTCTTGGAATCCATTCTGGCCACAAATTCTCTCTAGAGATATATACTCCGTGGTTTTAGTACCGATGTATTAGCTTACACTCCCTTGTACGAAGTTAAACAAATTGAATTATTGATATACGAAATTGTTAAGTCTTTGTGTGGGCCTTTGAAAGGCAAAAATAAAATCAGTTTATTCTGTATACACTATATACAAGTCTTGTGTGTGAACTTCTTTCCTGAAATTTTAATGCAAGTTCTGGCACGATCTGAGTTACCTTGTAACCTTTGACATTTGCATTGACTTAAGTGTACTAAAATTCAGGGTTCTTGGTGGTAAGGAAGGGCTGAGGTACAGTTAAAGTTGCATGCCTCCAGATGAGCCAAATATTTTAAGAAAATCAAACTTGAGAAAATGCTATTAAGAGTTTATGAAAAGTAAAAAGATTCAAAATTTAAGTGATAATTTACATATTTATATGTGCGATTAAAGACAATTTTGCATTTTTATCGACATATTTCTAGTGCATTAGTTACTTTAACACAGTAAGGGCTATTTTTGCATATTTTAACATCTTTGGACTATTTTAATTGGCTGTTAATATTTCTAATATATTGATGTTTTTTTTATCAAATATGCAGTCAAATTTAGGGCAAACACCAGTTGGGAGAACTGGGAAAGGTAGTCTTTGTTGAAATTTGGTCTGTAAGAAATGATATAAAATTGTAAAATCATATATGGGAAACAAAATTACTGGTTTTCTGTTCTCATAGTTTGTTTTTAAGTGGTTTTGCACAAAAGTTGATGTGACAAAAAATTTCAGGAAACATAATAAATATGAATTGTTATGAAATTAGAAAAGTGGGGGAAAAAAACCAACAAAAAAACAAAACAAAGAAGATTATTTAAAGTACAGAAATGCTGTTTCAAGTAATTGTTTATGTAGCTTTACCAAGGCTTTATATAGAAATATTAAATATAAAACCTATATATGTATATATAACATGCTAATATTGAACATTTATGTCATGTACTTTTAGATTAATGTGCCAACAGATTTAGAAGGCAGTGAGTTGTTAGCGGAGCAAGTTGACCGACGGGAGAGAGTTTTTCATGACACTTCTCCCATGTGAATGTATGATCTGGTATAATCAGGGAGTGAATGAAGATCAAACTGGCGAGGCCTGTCGACATTTATAGGAGGAGCATCCAGCTGATTACGCCACAAAAAAGATATGTGGTTGCTGAGTTTAATGTGGGGACTATGTTTGTGAAGGTTTTTCAATGCTTTTAAACTCGTTTTAATGTTGGTACAAACACAATGGGAATGTATTATATTGAGGAAGCTATACTCAGGTAAGTCCAACTATTAAAGGTCTGTGTTAGTTTACCTAGGTGGCCATATTGGGACTCAAGGTATATTACAAGTGGACCAAGGTCCTTTCCAATGGGTTTCCAGTAAAAGGTGCCATATGACCTTATTAACTTGTTTGGCGTGACTCCAAACAAACAAGGAAAAAGTAATGCAAAATGGCCTGTCATAGAGTCTATACAAATTAACCATAATCCTAGTTTTTGCAATGAAATTGACTTAATTTCAATGTGATACGGCCTGTTGTCAATTTAAGGGGATTTCTATATCTGATAATGATGTAATAAATTAAGAGACTAAATTGTGTTGAGTCTGGTTACACTGCATTGCATTACTTAGAAATCAGCCGGAAAAGCCCTTGAACTTTGAAATTTAAATCAATTACATTAAAACTAGTGATGCAACTATTCAATGTAAATAGTTTAGTTATTTTAGTGAACGTTTTGCATTATTTGTTTTCTCATTCACTTCTTTATATAAAGAGTTAATATGCTATAAAATCCCCCACAAACTTCTCATTTTCTCTTGATCATCCCTCCCCACTTCCCTGCAAAAAAGAAAATAACAGGGAAATATTTGAAAAAGTTAAAAAAAATTGAAAATATTTGGATTGTTAGTAGAAGTCTATTCTATAAATGAATGATTTAACAATGTTTTCTTTGAAACAAATGAGCCGCGTCATGACAAAACCAACATAATGCGTTTGCGACCAGCATGGATCCAGACCAGCCTGCGCATCCGCGAAGTCTGATCAGGATCCATGCTGTTCGCTATCAGTTTCTCTACTTGTAATAGGGTTGGTAAGCGAACAGCATGGATCCTGATCAGACTGCATGGATGTGCAGGCTGGTCTGGATCCAAGCTGGTCGCAGAAGCACTATGTTGGTTTTGTCATGATGTGGCTCAAATATTAATGAGGAAGAAGGAATAGGAAACAGGGAATTTTATAAAAATTGAAGACTGTTTAACATCTTTTGTTCAAATATATGACTTTTGATGTGTTTGTATTTATAGTGTGAAACAGAATGTGCAAGCTATGGAAGTGTGTCGTCGACCAATCAAATCACTGTATGACGTGAACCAAAACTCTGGTTCCCTGGTGCCAAACTTTGTCCCGGCGTCCACTAACAACCTTACTGTGACCTTCAATAATCAAATGAATGCCTTACATTCTCAGGTACTACTTTATTAAGTTTGTTTTATAGGGCGTCAATTAAAAAATACTATGTTCAAATTTGATACATGTATTTGAAAATATAATAATTGCTACACTGTCTTTTTGTAAAAATAAAATAAACATGTTTTGACTTAACACAAAGTATGCTTTAAATCCTACACCCTGTAAGTGGAAACACTAAGACTATAATTTTATAGTGTCATTTAAAAAAAGATTATGGATCCGAGTTCAGTGAACCTAATGCCGTCCCTGTTGAGCTTAATTAGGCAGGCATAGTCATTGTTACGACCTTTACTAAGAAGTATGAGTATTCAGTTGTTAGTTGTTCTTAACCAGAATTCCAGCTACTATGTTATTTAGTTCACACTTTTTGATTAGTTAAATGATAACTTTTTGGTAAGCTCAAATGTTATCATCCATGGAGGTTTCGACCAAAATATCTATATATGTACTCACGTTCAATGCAGTAATATCCTGTAGAAAGTATTGTAAGACGTCAATTTTTAGTGATTTTTATCAGAATTCTTAGAACTCTGATATTTATTATCCTTTTTCTAGGAATGAAGCCATAAATCCAAGATATATATGATTTTTTTTTCCTGAATCCGGATTTCTTTATAATTGTATGGTTTTCAGAGGTGATATATTTCACATGTCTATATTTGGAGGTGGGAAATGTTGTAGTTCTAAGAATTCATTGAATTCAATATTCAGAGAATAATAAAATTATTGAATCAGTATTGGAACTTCTTTGTACAATGAAACTTGTCAGGTTTTTTTGAAAATTTAGCCACTGAAATTTTTGTTAATCAATGGATTTTAGCATGTCTTCTTTCAGTTTTGTGAAAATTCAGCCACTTAAATTTTGTTAATCAATGGATTTTAGCATGTCTTCTTTCTTTAATTTTATGTTACGTAATTCATGTGCTCTGGACTTGCAGAATGGTCATACAACGGGTACAGAAATACAGTATTTGCCGTATCCCATGTCTCGAACCTACCTACCATATCAGAGTCAGCACTTGAATCAGGCGTTACCAGCGCAGCGAGGAAGTACGCAGTTCAGTCGGACAGATCCTTTCACGCAGTCGCTATGTGTGTCATCTATAGTGGTTCCTGGATTACAAGGTGAGCAATAAGTGTTCCGAAGTGAAGCTCTTGTCTTTCAGAGGGCATTCTTTATGGAATAAGCATCCTTAGCCTGCTGAAAATCTTACATGAACTAGTCTAGCTTTTATTTTTGCAACTGTCCATTATCTATTTTGGGGATATCAAGATGAAATTTTCAAATAGAGACAACTTAAGCTCACTCTGCCATTAGCGATTTTAGCCATTTAGCTGGCTTGGCTCTATACTTGTGGCAAAGGCTAATCGCTTTATTTTACATGACAGCAGAGGTTAAAACTTAGCGGGATTTGACCCAGTAGTGTGTCCTCCTTTAGGGTCATGCATGAGTGAGTGAGTTCATAGTATGATTGGGTATGGAGGAATATGAAGTCACAATTACTCGAGTCCATTGTTCTTAATGAACATACGGCTGCAGTAAAAGTGAAACATTTTACAAGTGGAATCTTCTTACATTTTATCATTTAAATTTATGTGAATGCTGTGTTGGAATGTACAATTTTCTATACGCAGTTGTACTAAAGGAAAGGTTTAACCTTTGATATATTTTGCCACAGAAATGTTTCAGACTTGGAAAAAACATGGAATTGTATATCAGAAATGTCCTTACTCTCATTAGTATAGTATTATGACTGATCTAAGACACATTGTTCAGTATAGAGCTAGGTCCCCCCACACATCTCTACAGTCTAACCAGGCTCTTTACTGTTGCCTGCTTAATTCTAACATTTTTAGCCTGACTCTTTATGGAATAAGGAGAGTTTTTGTGCTCTACCAGGCGTGTGACACTTTGGTTATGTCTTTGCATGCAATTTGGGATCTCCAAACCTACTGAAGGGAATGGGTTGAAACATCACACACTTATTTGAAAGTATAATGGGAGGTTATTGTCCAAGACCCACAACTCTGCACATGGATTTTGAAATTCTATATTATCAAGGCTCTTGTTTTACTATCAAGCACTGAAAATATTCGTGCATGCTGTCCTATCGAGAGTTCTTGTTTATACCAAAATCCCATACTTGAAAGGCACATTATGCCTAAGAAATCCATATTCTTTTAAGTCTTTGGAAAGGTCAAACATGTTTAACAGTTTTAACAATGGATTTAGAGCATATTAAATGTTTAAAAACTAAAGGAAGTAGCACTGATAGTGCAATAATTTTGTTCATATTTTGTTGTACTCAAAGCGATTACAATACATGTCAGAATATGGAGTAATTATTTTCTGCTTGGGTCGTACCATATTCTATCAGATCAGAAAAAATACATTGTTGAGTACAACTAAAATACAAACAATTGTCATATCTTGTCATAAAAAAAAGATAATATTTAGAATCATTTAAAAAAAATTCCGCCCCATTTAAACGGATAAATGTGACACCCCTAATAAATTTGATGAATTTACTTTGTCCTTTACAGGTTTAAATTCACCTACCAGGTATAATCCGGTTCCCATGGTAACACAGGCTGGTCCCACGCTACAGATACAGCCTCAACTGATAACCCAGGTAAGCTACCGGCTTTCTGATCACCCTACGAAAACCTTTTCTCAGCTAGTTCTCGTTATATAGTGTGTTAAAATGCTTTTTTAGTTACTTTGCACTAATAACAAGTAAAAAAAAACAAACCAACAAAAAAACAACAAATGATTCTTCTCAAATGAGGTTATAGAAATACATGTACAGAAAAAAAATTGTACATAAAATTTGTAGACGAATTAAAAATGTTTAGTAAACAAAATTTGATTTAAAAAAAACACAAAAAAAACAATGTTTTCTTCTTTCTTGTAATATGGGAAAATTTGATGTAATTGAATAAGATGTTCTTTGATAGAAATGTAATTTTGCACAAGCTTTTTATGATAAATAGCAAAAAAGAAAACAAAAAACACAAAAAGAAAAACACAAAAAAAACAACAACAGCATTCTTTTTTGAAGATAATTTGCTTTTGATGTTTTTCATTGTGTTGAAAATTGAGACGTAATAAAGAATTACGGATTATGTTAAGAGAATTTTTTTTTTTCTCTTCTGAAATCTTTCTTTCTTCTTCGGCTCTGTAGAAACCACGAATGGTAAGTGGACATATAACTTAACCATTCAGCCTTTTCAACACATAGCCATGTGTTTTCACGCCACATTGAATGTTCCACTGAATCACTTCTCATTTATCATACCCCACCCACTTTTTCTATACAAGGGAAAATATATATTTTATATATATGTATTATACATGTATATATATATTTTATATATATAAAAAAAGATAAAATCCTGATATTTAGATTTGTGCTTCCTTTAATGTCTTAATCCAGTCATTTGAAGTCAATGTCAAAAATTCATATTAATATACTACATGTTTAAATGTCACATTGATGTGGAATGTCTGTTTTTAAATGTCTCAAATGATTTAAAGATGAAACAATGTTTCTTTACATATTTTTTTGGTGGATATTTGAGATATTTGAAACAAGTGTGTGTTAAGTCACTATTCGTAACTGTTAAATCAGTTACTGTGAATGGTTTATTTTAAAAGAAAATTGTTGATTCTCCTTAAGTTGAATGTCACAATTTATTCCTATTTTTTTAATGTCACAAAGATCTTAAGGTTCTATTCGATCCCAACGTTGATTGCCTTAAGTTAAATGTCATCAAAGTTTTGCTGTTTGTGCATATTACTTGAATGTCACTATTTGCTAGAGATAGAATGTGGGTTACCTGTTGAGGTTTTGAATGGAATGTTAAAGAGTACTGCATATTTGAATGTCACAAAACATTCAAGTCTTTTGGTTGATTTCTTTGGTCATGACTGCAAGGAATGTCAGAATGTCACAAGTTGAAATGAATGTCACAAAATTCGAAATGAATGTCTCAAAATTGGAAATGAATGTCACAAAATTGGAAATGAATGTCACAAAATTCGAAATGAATGTCACAAATTGGAAATGAATGTCACAAAATCATAAAGTCAATGACTGTATTGTGAGATAAGAGCATATAAATGTTGGAATGTTTTCATAGTAACCTATCATTTGAAAAGAAGCAAAAAAAATATGGTTAACACCATACCATTATGTAGTATGTACTTCAGTTATTGTTGGATGTTTCATTTTTGTTTTATTTGATGCTGTGAATGTTGTATCGAAGGACATTGCCATGAATGTCACAATTTATATACAATGTACCAGAATGTTATCTAAAAATTTGTGTTTTGTATTCCACACTTGTGTTTGGTAACAGCACTAAAAATGCATGCCCTGATAAATGTACGAGTCCTGTATATCACTGATTTTATATAAAAGCTTAACATTAGCCATTTGATTAAGAAAACCAGATTACAAAATAAAAATTTATATAATGACATTTTCAACCTGATGGCCTTTTTACATACATCAAGGGTTGTGAATTTAATTGGGAAAAATTAATTTTGGAAATTTCGTAAAATAGTAACCTGTGATGAACAATTTGTTTTCATTTAAATTTGTATTAAAATTATCCCACCAGATGTCGGGTTTAGATTTTCCAGCATTGAATGAAATAAAAATTGTTAGAAATGAAATTATTAATAAGAAAAATCAGATTTACGTGAAAACATGTTTGGCATCCCTCATGTTCATTATAAGTTTTTATTTATTAGATTTGGTGGTAGAAAGGTTTTTCTTTTTTTGTTCAACATGAAATATCATATCCCTTGAAATTTTTTTGCGATTGTTTAGATAGTTTTATTTAGAATTTGAGTAAATAACCAAAGCTTCATTTGCAAACAATAGGCACTAGATTTGATTGGAATATTATACTATAGCTGTAGTTTAGTTAATGGACTATAGTATGCCTATAGTTAAGTAACATATTAAGTTAGAAAAATAAACCATAGGTGCAGTTTAGTTAATGGACTATAGGTTCCCTATAGTAAGGGAACAGATTACGTTGGAATAATGGGCCATTTGTGCATTTAAGATTCCCAATAATTAAGTAACAGATTAAGTTAGAATAATAGACCATAAGTGCAATTTAGTAAATAGACTATAGTTTCCTTATAGTTAGGTGACAGATTAAGTTAGAATAATAGACCATAGGTGCAGTTTTGAGTTTCCAAATACATATAGTTATTTCATATTAGAAACTGCAGCTATAGTTTACAACATTCACTGTAATTAGACATTTAAATAGTAAGCTGTAGCTAATTGGCTGGATCATACCCTTGGGCTTATTTCCGAAATAAACATGCATGTTTTTATATTATTGCACCACCCTGATTCAATCCTCACTTTTAGGTGCTAATATGAATTGGTGTGGTGTTTATGGTAATTTAATCACAAAGATATTTTCAATTTTTTTTTCTTATGCGTAGTTATTTTATTAATCAGGGAGCATGCAAACCTTACATCTTATGGGGGAATATCTGTTACCTTTTATAATTTGCTATTAATGTCATTCATAAATAGTACAAATTTTCTGATGTTTGAGAATGTATAAATGAAGCTGGTTTGAAATTTGCTAGTAAATCAAATATATGTATATATAACCTTGTGTGAATTGGTATTGAATTGACAATAAAACTTAGTGTAGAGAATAAAGATATTAAATTACAGTAGTAGGCACAGAGAGTTTGTTCAGAGTAGGTTTATGTCTTGGTTTGTAAGAAAATTTACAAGACCTTAGTGCATGACAGTTTTTTTTTTTGCATGTTTAGAAAAATATACACAGTGAAATTTAAATAGACACAAATGCATGTTTGGTCGATATTTATTAATTATAACCATTTCCCTCATTCTATGTACGAAATACTGTAAAGATACCTTATTTATTCCCCCAATATTCCATGGAATAGAGCAGTTTTTGTTTACCTTAAATACCCTCCCAGGGGTCTTCGTGGATCGAATGGTTAAGGTTGTTGACTTTGAATAACAAAAAGTGATTCCTGTTTTGGATTTTAAATTCTTTCATGCCAGGAAGCTTACCACTTAGCTTACAGAATGTTGTTGGTTTTACTCAGATATCAACTGAAACAGTCAGAAATAATACGTACTAAGAGGGACACAAAAAGTATCCCCTGCATTTACAGTAAACTCCACTTAAATCAATATTCAGGGGATCACCAAATTTATATTATTATATACGGATATAGTTAATCCGAGAGCCAGTCAATTTAAAAACAATAGAGTCAAGACCACGGCAGTAGCATTACTATAAGTTTCACCCTTCACTATTATTTGAATTGATAAAATGAATTGGGTTGATTAGAATATGTCATATGATCACTAAATGGTCAGCGATTGGTCTATGGTTCTTTACTGTAGTTAGATATGAATATCAGCAGATATGCTATAATATGTTCCAATCTATTCATAGTTAAATATTCATGACCAATGACACAATACAATGTTTGAATCATTGCTTCAAATGGCCACAGAAGATTTAAACTTTCAATTTAAATGAGATGATATGCTAACAAGAATTCAAAAAAGGGTTTTCCTTTCATTATTTATTTATTCAGTATATTTCCATGTAATTCTTACCTTTATAGTTATCTTGAGATTGTTTGATGATAAATATGTTTATCTACAAAATAACTTTTCTATTATCATTATGTTAGAAAAATTAATTTTTTCTTCTTTTTTTTTCTTTCTTTAACCAAGTACATATCTGAGATAACTGTCTCAAAATAAAAAATCTTTGGACTGTAACAAATTCAAACCTTGGAACATCCAGCAGGTTAAGAAAAGCAAAAGCAAATGCATAGAAATAAACAGAAAAGGGAGAATATGGTTAAGAAATGTAACTTTTACATTGTCAGAGTGCCCCGATGAGTGGATGGCCGGCCACACAGCAGGTACTGGTAGGGCCATTTCAACAGATACCCGGTCTCACTGCAGCTGCTGCCGCAGCCACAAACCAGCGACCTGTTACCCAACAGATCCTACCGGAGAACTTGGCTCATCAGCAGATGCTGTCAGATAATTGGAGGCAGTCAATAGTGCTGGACGGGTTTGATCAGACGTCCTTGGCTCAGCTGGTATGTGAAGTGTATAACGTTTAACATGTGTTTGTAACCGTAGTAACTACATTGTTGAGGGCACCTGTTGCATAGGTGAAAGTTTTCAGTATCCTACCTGAATTCAGGATATTCAGATTCATATAAGCTTTCTTTTTCTGCATAAACAATAAAGAAAATTGCTAAATACAGGATTTTCAGACTTTAACAAATATCAAACCAAGTTGATACATTGATATGCAGGATAACAAACTGGTAATAGCAATATATGCATATAGGAATAATAATACACAAAGACTTACCTAAAATCCATCTTAACTATCTTAACTTTCCTGAACATAGAAAGTTGTGATATAATCTAAACAGAGTACATGTATCTGCCTCCTTTAAGCCTAAGCATACTGGTGGAAACTGAGTCAATCCATGCGACTAGTGCAGATCAAATCAGCATCACTAGCCACCATTGTGCTTATCTGACATGTCTGCACTGTTCTGCATTTAATCTTCCTCAGTAACTATTTTGAAATTGATTTGTACCAATTAAAGATAGTTACAATGCCCATTAAGATATTTAGCATGGCAATGTTTAATGACCCAGCTTCTTCCAAGCACTATGAAATGATTATCCCTGCCTTATACAAATGTATATGGTAAAGTGTGACGTAAACTCCATGAAATATTTTGACTTAACAGTTGTATCATACTTACAGGGTGCCCAGCCACAAGCCTGGAATCTAGGTATGGTGCCGTTTGGATTGGCATCAAACAGACATGGTTCTTCACAGACTAGTAAAAGACAGCCAAAACAGAGGTGAATAAAGTTGATATGTAATTTTAATATGTAATACCCTTTCTAACTGGGAATGTTGTCGTCTGCTAAAATGTGGTCTGCTCAATTTTGTTTAACATTTGTCTGAACCTTTTGAAATCAAATAGATAAAGAGTGACTGTTAGTCAGTTTGATTCCTGACAAGCCGTTGCCTCTCACTGCTGCTGGTTCCAGTTCTAGGGACTTCTTTCATGTGAGAAAGTTATCCTGCTAGCTTGCTGAAGGTTGGTAGTTCTACTCAGGTGCCAGCTTGTGCCTGAAATAATGCAAGAAGGGGTACCTGAGGTCTTCCTCTACCAGTAAAGTTATTAGGTCGCCATATGACCTTAACTAAAATGTTGGTGTAACTTAATATGCAATAAAACAGATGATTCAACACCAGCTGAGTCTCAACTAGTTCTAAAATGTATTTTAACAGTGGCAGGGGACATAATTACTTGTATAATGTCATATAAAGTTTTTGTTGTTTGAGTTAAAGTTCATTCTGTTGAATGAGTATTTGTAAGTATGTCATGAATGAATATGAAGAAAGTGAAATAGATGTTTACGGCCAACAGTAGTTTTATTAGGTTATTGCCATTTATTTAGATTTTGTTTGTTCAGACTTTTTTTGTAAAAAATCTGCGAAAAATCTAATGTAAAATATTTTGATAAATTTATTCCTTACTGCAGAGTAACAAAGGAGCAGGCCTCCACTCAACTCTCGCCAGTAAAGAAACGGGTCAAAGAAAACACGCCTCCACAGAGTAACCATGGAAACCACAATGCGAGGGCACCTGTTGTGCAGGCTGACACACTGGTGCCGGCGACATGGGCAGAAACGCTGCCGACAGTGAAGTATACCGGGTCCAGACGGGACCATCGACAGACGATTGTGATCGCGGATTCACCGAGTCCGTCGGTCAGCGTAATTACGATAAGTTCTGACAGTGAGGAAGACGAAGACACAAAAGTTATACGAAGGTAAATTGAATAAACGCCTCTGATAATTTTTCTCTTTTTTCCTGCGATTATCATTTTCCTAAAGAAGTGAATAGCTAGCTAAAAGAAAATCTGTGGTTTTACACACATGGTCTAATGTCTGAAGTAGTAGAGGAACTTCCAGAATTTTCTTCCTCATGTAAAAGCTGGAAAATGACTTTATGCCTATTTTTGACAAATAAATCCCAAAAAAGAATCAGTTTATTTTGATGTTCATATTTTAAAATTCAATCTGCAATTATGTTTTCTGATAATTTTAATGCTTCAGAACCAGATGCTTATTATTTTAAGTTATTGTAAGTTCTGTACTATTTTTAATATGCAGAGATTCAGAAATATATTTGAAAAATTGATTCATTGTTTTGAAGGAAAAGTCCAGATAATCTGATCACTGCGTTGTCACCAAGCACAAACTTTAATATGTTTTCTTTTTTTCAAACTTTGTAATAGGTATCAATACCAAACTTGGAGTACTTGCTTATCATAAAGAGATAAGACGAGCAAAATTGGTTGTTCATAGTCATTGCCTTTAACAGACAAGCGTTAACACCGCATGTGTAGCTTTTGTGTTGTTCATTTACTGAGTAAATGAAAGGTGAATAGCAAAGAATTTTGCCACCACACTAAATGGAATACATTTGTTTTACAAAATTATCAAGGAAAGCCAGTTAGGTGGATTTGACCTCCGAGATGTGAGCAAAAAATGTGTTGAAATAGGTATAAAAAAAATTACAGAAAAACTACAAAATTTTCATGGTTTTGTTTTCTTAAAAATATTTAAAAAATAATTTGCTTTTTTTCTGTCATTAGACAACAAAAAGAGAAACAAGCCGGACAACAGTTCATGTCAGATCCAGGGCTGCTGGAGAGTGCGTTAGGAGAAAGTTTCGGTACGTCATCCAACAGGAAGAACGTTATAACAAACAATGTGTCAGCGGAAAACTTGAGCTCAAAACAGGTCATGCTTACACCTATTAAACACGAGGACATCGAGAGTAATATGTTGAACGATGCCTACTTGTTCGGAAGTCAGCTTGGAGTCACCGTCGATGAGACGGCGGCACTCATTCCGCCGAATTTACGCGTTAATTCTTCGCGGAAAGAGCCAAGACATGCACATTCGAACAATGATAAAGTTTCGAACCAGGCATCAAGTACTAAACAGAACACTCTGACCACAAGCCATCATATGGCTGATAAATACAAGGATAATAGTCCTCGGATAGATATGAGATTAACGCAGGATCTGGAAAAGACCATGTTGGCCGCACAAGGGAAACTGGCGTATGTGTCGCCGACGGTGAGACAGAGTAATAACCTAAACAGACATACGTTCCACGGGTCTACAAGTCAGAGCCAGAAACAGGTTTCCAGTGGAGGAAACTTAGGTTTTGTGTCTCGGCAGGCTGGGGGTAGTATGTCACAACTGTCCCCAGCACAACCACAGCTGCAGCTTGGGCAACCAACTGTGTTACTGAACCCCGCATCGCAGGTGGATCTTCACAGGTAAGACTTTATTTCTTTAAAAGTTATTACTTGAATCATATCTAATGACTTCATATCATTGTCTAAAGCATGGGATTTATTAAAATGGCATATAGTGGCTCAAGTCATATGTTATATTGTAATATATCAAAAGGGCAAACGTCTTCATGACAAGCTTTTAAACTATATCATATTATGTCTTTGATTCCAACCACTTCTGTCTCTAAAATTGTCATTGTTAATTTAGTCCATGTATAGTGTCTAAACTTAAAAACCCAATAAAACAACAAGAAATGTATGTTGAATATGGAAACTGACATTAAAAGGTGAAGGTTAGAGTTGTAGAATACGGCAAATTAAAAATTAGTTTAAAATTTGACAATTTTTGATGTGACTATTTCAGAGATTACAGAAGACGACAAGCGAGTCCAATACACCACTATCTGGTTCCGGCTCATCAACAGCCACAAGTTGGACTCCCAGCAGGTCTTGGTCAGTTTGGACCGTTCTCTCCCGCAATAGCTCCACCACCGGCTCATCAGAGTCCGCGGCACGTTCAGTACGCAGCTCATCCGTTGCCGGCTCACGTTCATCCAGTACTGCAGACGACATCCATACCTGGGACCTACCATTCACAGTTACCACAGTACCCTACGTTAAGTACGGCTACGACGGGACTTTACACCTCGTATCAGATGTCTCCAGCTAAAGCAAGACCATATCAATACTTTGCAGGTTAAAAATACACGTTTTTTAACTGAAGTTTGCAACATGCACGTAATTGCCAGTTGTTAACTTGGCGCTGGCCTGTTTTTTGCCAGATGAAAAAGATCGTTAGTCAAAATGAACGGTACTATGAAGGAACATTTTTCTGCATGTTAACTGAATTTAGAGTTGGAAGATGCGTAATGGAAGTATAGAAATGGGGGCGTTGGCGACGTCACATGACATATTTTTATCATGATGTTATCTAGCGATGTGTTTTCACTTTATTTTATTCAAATCTAATTATAGATATTGTGGTACTGGTGTGTTATATGTAAACTTTATACCTTTATAGAGCTAAACTTATGAATATCACTGCCCAAGATACGCACTTGATGTAAAGATGGTAACGTGAAAATAAATTTGGCAATATGTATTTTATGATTATTCTTGGTAAGGAGGCTTGACATTTTTCAGCATTGTAGTTTTGTACTTATTGCATTTGTGATGGTAAATATTTATACATTTTTCCCCTGTCATGTGATAAATGATGTAGTTATGCGTGCATTGACTATTAATCAAGGCGAATAATGTTGTTTTAATAGTTTTAGACGTACGAAAAAATAATATTTAGTAAAATTTTTGAGTGGGAATTCTGTGATTTATATAATATTGTAGTCTGTCTCAAGAATGACTGGAAATTTAACGAGGGTTAAGAAAAGTTAACGTCAGTTACGAACTGAATTTAGGGAAAAAAATTGACTTGAAAATGAGTATAGTGACCCACCTATTTAACTTGACGTGCTTGACATATTAAGCTTGTTGTGTAACGGCAGGGGTCGAACGATGATTTTGTTACGTAGTTTTTGAAGTTTTGATTTTTTTCACTTCTTTTCCTTGAGTCTATTTTTGTTTGCATTAAATTAGTTTTTAGCTTGCATGTATTAATTAGGTGTGTAGATTGTTTAATCCAGATTTTAGCTTTCGATGAACACGCTTGCGGTGGTTTTAATTTTTTTCTCTTGACAATTAGTTTTAAATCATTGTGTGGATTTTTGTTTTTTAATGAATGACATTTATGTCTTTTGTTTCATTTTGCGATTTTTTAATAAAAGGCAAAATTTACAAAGAAAACTTTACATCTTTTTTTGCAAGTATTTTCTTATATAGTAGATCAGATGAGAACATTTTAACATTTCATTTTAGTGTCAGATATTTAAATTCTTTTTTATGATTAATTTCTTTTTTCCTCGCTTTTGGTGAATGAAGTCAGAAAGCCAGTTATGTTATTCAAAGATCATAGTTTTTCGTATTATTTTGACTTGCACATGTTTAAATTATAAATTACGGCACATTTTTCACCCATTTGTTTAACGTCATCGTAATTTTTTAGAGGGGTATAATGGTTCGTATGTCAAGATATTCAGATTTTTCATTTGTAAATTTTTGATTGTGAAAATGAATTTGTAGATCCCACCATGTACATGTATATAAGAACATTAATGCTTCTGTGAAAATCATATGAAATTTGTGACAATGTATATATAAAAAGAAGATTGAAATGGAATCATTTCGGAATATTGAAAAATGTGAAAATGCGTTTAAATGATGTTTTTTTTCATTCTTAAAGATGCAAAATTTAAAAGTTTTTGAAAATTTGAATTTCTACCCCTCGCAATAAGTTAACAAACGGCATGTATGAAATATTTTTCTTGGAGGGAAAAAAGTGAAAATATTAAATATTTTAAAAACGTGAATTTTGTTTTGAATATGTGAAAATTAATATGAATGTGAAATTCTTTGAAAGTAAGCCCAGCAGTGCTTTAGTCTCTAATCATGCTCATCTTTGTAACGGGTAACGTAATTTGTATTGAATTGATTTCTTTTTTTTGAAAATGTTCACGACGTATATATTATTTAGTTGTTGTAGACTGTAGGAAATTAAAAAAAAATTTGTTTTGATCTTTTCGAGTGAGCTGAGTATAGCCATGTTTGAACAGCGTCATGTTGTTCATGATTCTGACGGGAGATTTGACGAGTGGGTTTCATTTTTATAAGTGCAAGTTGTAATAGTTGTAGAGATATGTTGATTATTGTGTTCACTGAAGAAAATTTTTATGATAATGTTGTACAGTTTTAGAATAGTTGGAGAAAAAAAGTACAAGCATATTTTTACATAGTTGTTTGAAAGCACGCGAATATTTTTTAATTCTCTTGTCTTTTTCCCTTTCTTCTACAGATTATATTAAAACACAATTTATAAATCTCTTTTTTTATTTTATAAATTAAGGAATGATGTATATATGATTATATATAAAGGAGAAAGTAGATGAAATAAACTTTGTACATAATTCAATAGCTTAAAATTTTATCGAAAGCTATTTTTATACATTTACCAATTTGAATGAACATGTCCTATGAAATTGTACATAGTAATTTTAATTATTATCATATAAAAGGGAGGAAAAAGTGGTGCCATTTATATGATTTTTAAAAATCACCACCTGTTTGTTATGTATATAGAGACTATTAAGTGTACATGTTCACTACGATGATTTTATCTGTAAAGCTTCATTTTTTTTTTTTCACAGCGGATGTATTTAGTATTAACATGTGCTCTGCAATTATGGATGCTTTAGTAGATAGTTAGATTCCTAGACGATAGTTTCTTAGCCGTAGATTGTTTGTACGTTTGTTGTTAAGACATGTTTTACAGAAATTTTGATCGGGCGGTCATTTTTTTTATTGCGAGATGTTAATATTTCAGCACATCACATGTTAGTTGACTAGATAATCATGTAATTTTTACTAAAACATGGCGATAATGGGTATTTATTGAATTAAATTCGGAATTTTTTTTAACGTTTAAAAATCATGAATAGAAATCAAAGTGTATGTTGTTTTTCAATGAATTAAGCCAATTGAATTTTGTTCTGGTGAAAGGCAAGCAGTTGAAATCAAGTGTGTAAATTTCGGAAATTTTAAGAAATGATAAAAACAATTATTGACAGAAATTTATTATATTTTTTTTTCCTGAATGAATTAAAAAAATAGACTATGTGATAAATTATTGTAATATGATGATAGCTGAGGTATAATTTAAGCATTTTTGTTTACTCGATAATTTATTTATTTGTTTTTGTGTATTTTGACAAAAGAAATGGAAACAAGTTTAAAGGGCTTGACTTAAAGCTATAGAATCAAACATGATTGTTGACTTTAAACAAATATGAATCAAATTATGATTAAGCAATAGTTAAGTTCATTTTAGTATTGCTTAATTACATGTAGGTGTAAAAAGATATGGACGATTAATGTTATACTTGTATATACTAGTAGCATAATTTCAAATTAACGATGGTGCAATTTTAGTATTTTTTTAGGACCGGACTTCATGAAACTGTCTGTGAATACGAGTGTTGTCACATGATAAGGTTTTTGTATGTGCGTTTTTTTTTCGATATGCCATTGAAGAAAATGGCATACTTTTAATACACGTGAAATGTCCCCTTATTTCAACCGGCGAAACTAAGGGCAAGGGAATTACTTTCGAAACCTTGTATTTTTGTACTTAAATGGTCGCAGAGTTTATATCGAAGTTAAACTATTTTCACTGACCATTCTAAGTATGATCGACTAGAAATTTTGACAAGTAGATTTTAGATGTACAATTAAACAGCACAAATTGGCGTGTGAAAGAACAAGGCTCTCTTCTAAACAGACCACAGGTTGTTGTTGCTAGGCAACAGATTGTAGCGATGTTATACCTGTTCAGAATGTGTTTCTACGTGTTATATCCGTTCCATATTACCATGTGATCATTTGATGGTGTACATACACATATTCATAAATGCCATAGTGTCCCGAATGTCCGGGAATATCCCAGAAATAAGGTGTCTGTCCCGGAGGATCCATGCCCCACCTCGAAATGAAGCGTCCCGGGAATTAGCTTTAAAATTATGACATGTATGGCATACATGTTCATGAAGTACTAATTCTTTCCTATTACACAACCAGTACATAAATAAGACACTAGGAGTTTTATTCAGGATTTTTGCCCAAGTAGCTTACATTATTTGAAATTTCATAGTGTAGATCTGCAAACCAGTCATTGCTTTTCTATAGAAAAGCAGCTTACATCAAGAAAATGAAAATAATAGTTTTGTAAACCAGTCTTGGTAAGCAGCTTACATCATAAAAAAATGAAAATAATGATTCTGTAAACCAGTCCTGAAAAGCTGCTTACTACTTTGAAATTTAAGTTGAATTTTTTTTAACCAGTCCGACTAAATTTCTCACAAAATAGAAGTGTGAACCAGTCCATTGTAGCAGCTTATATCATAGAAATTAATTTTAACACTACAAACTAAGACAATGTAGTATCAATGCAGCAATGTTGCCAGTAAAAAAACAAAAACAAAAAAGTTTTCTTTTGATACAACACATATATGTCTTCTGTTAACACCCTGTTTATCACAGTTTTGTCACATATATATACACATATATAAAATAAAATATAAAAGTAGACAGCTCTGAACACGACACAGCTTTATTTTGGGCTTCTTATTTAGATAAACTTGTCTATTTTAATAGAACATTCTAAAAAAGGAAAGCGAAATGAAGACGAAAGTAACAGCATGTCAGAATTGCATATAAAGTGTAAAAATAGAACTTTGTTGTGAAGTCTTCCCGTTTTAAAGACGTCTGAATAGATTTTCAGTTTTATTGAGAAGTCATTCCCTGTAATTGAGGATAGCCAGCAGTTGACAGATTGGTCTAGCAGTCTTGTTCTTTGTTTACAGAATGTTTATTGAAATCTGACGACTCATATTTTATGAGCAAGGTGGGAATGCTTAAATTCACAGACTGGTTCAGGAGTTGTAGAAATTTTTTTTTATTAGACTGGTTTTCAAATTGTAGAAAATTTTATTCTTAGTAGAATGTAGACTGTGACATGAGACTTTTTTTACTACTTTTTACGATATTTCTTTGCTCTGGATGTTTTAATGTTAGAGTAGATATTACTTTAGTCACAACCTTAGAATTTTAATGATCAACTTGCACCACAGTGAAGATGAATTTTAGCAATATAGACATAATTGTTACAGGTTTTATGAACTTACTGGTATAAAAGATTATACTAAAGTTTTCTATTTTAGTCACAAAACGTCAGTAGATCTGTTTAAATGGCGATTTACAAGTTTAGACTTGATTTACAACACATGCACTTTGTATATTTGTTCGTATTTCATTTGATTATGATCGGAAAATATTGTTGATATGAATTTATGAATAGGTGACATAACTGGCCAGTAGTTTAGGAAAAAAAAGAGGGTATCTTTTGATAAATTAAAGTCCCTCTTTTTGTTATTCTCACAGTGGTTTATTCTCACATAATCAGATTTGAACTCTCTCCTGTTGTCTCGGCATGTGGCGACTGTATTTCCTGTTATTACAGGAATAGTCTCCGTGCCGAGGCAATGATTTTTGTAAATAAAGGAATCTACTGGAAAATAGTTTTTGTGTGGAGTAAAGTGTTTGATTGTACATAATCATGCTATATATACAAATTCCGTTTGCTTTTGATTGTATCACGTACATAATAGTATTTAAACAGCATTTCGTCTTTCATGTTTGTTGACCTGTTATTTAACTGTTGTTTTTATCTCTCTCTGCATTTTGTTTGACTGGAGGTGACCGTTTGATTTCTGTGCGAGATTGTGCTTTGCTGTAGTAGTAAGGTAGATAAATTATGTATCGTATTTGGCCTATATGATAGTTTTAAATCAGATGACTCTTCTAAATGACAAAAGTGCTGATAACTCTTATGGGTTGATATAAAAATGAGTTCAATTTAGAGTTACTACTTTTGGCATGTGCAAAGTTCTTAAGTAAAGAAACTAGATTATGTGAACTGTTAAAAAAAAATTGTGGTCCTTTGTTTACCCCTGTGGAGAATATTTAAAGTTATTTTTGATATATAAAATAGGTAAATAGGCATAAAAATCTTATTTCTAGAATTTTTTGTGCAAATTTGAGCTGAATTTGTTCAAGGCATTAATATATTTTTGCAATGATTATTACTTCTAGAGAATAGGCTGAATTT